ATGGGGCGCTATGGCCCATAGCGGCACTGAGGCGCTATGGCCCATAGCGCCAGTTTTAAAATTATATCTATAATTTTATAAATATAAAATTTGATAAATAATTTATAAATTTTTTTTGGATAAAAGCGAAAAAAAGAATTGAAATAAGAAAAAATATAATTTTTAAAATTTTCGTAATATATAAAGTGAAAATATTTTAAAAAGGAAAAAAAAATAAAAAAAAATGGGGCGCTATGGCCCAAAGCGGCACTGAGGCGCTATGGGCTATAGTGACCCTTGGTGTAGTTGAAAAAATTTATTACCCCCAGCCACGTGTCAAATTACCGCGATTTGAACCAATAGTAATTTGACACGTGGCCTGAAACAGTAAAATAAAATAAAATAATGTGTATATAAGACAGTTTTTACCTTCAGTGATGGTCCCCAACTTCTTTCACTTTCGTTCCTTCAGCCAGCGAGTGCAGTTTAGGTAAGCATTTTTTCTCATTTCTTTAATTTAATTATAAATTATTTTGTTATTTTTAAAATTTTTGTAACTTATATATATTTTAATTATTATTTCAGATTAATTTTGTTTTTTTGGATTTCCGTAGATCTCCAGAGGTATTTTGCCTTTGAGGTATTTTGTGTTTTATTGTTTTCTGTAATTTAATTAATTGTATTTATTTTTTTAGTTATTGTAATTTAATTTGGTATTGTTATATTTTTTTGTGTAATTTTTTGAAAGTCGCTATGACTATATCATCTTAAGTAAATTATATAAAAACAGATTTTATTTAAATTTTAAATTTTATAATTTAATTGTCTGTAATTATTTAATTGGTAGTATATTTTTTCGTGTTTGTGAAGTCGTTTTGGACTATATTATCTTCAATAAATTATATAAAAACTGACTTTATTTAAATTTTAATTTTTATAATTTAATTCTGCGTAATTATTTTATTATGAGTATATTTTTTTCTGTTTGTGAAGTGGCCAAAGCCTATATCATTTTAAATAATTTATTTAAAAAAAAGTATATTTAAATATTAAATTTAATAAATTTAATTTTGTGTAATTTATTTAGTTATATTAGTGTTTAATTTATATTTATTTAAAAAATAATGATATTTCAATTTTAAATTGATATAATTGTGATTTATTTTAAAATTCAATATTTTGATTATGTGTAATTTATTGATGTATATACATATATTTTTTAAGGTTGTTAGTGTGTTATTTTCGTATAGATTATATCATGTTAATTAAATTAAAAAAATAAATTATGTGTTCAAAAATAATAAATTTTATTATATTTTGTTATAGATGGCATCATCATCATCTTCTAAGGGTATGCGTGTCACATGTGAACCCGTCGACGATGATTTATTATCGTTGCAAAATATACATGTGTCACGGCATGTTTGGAACAGAGAAGAAGACAGGAGACTATTAGCACGACGTGCTGCTCCCACGCGCACTGGAATTGCGGGAGTTCCACAGCAAATAATTTCGTTACTAGATCAAGCTGGTTTCGGATGGATAGCGCGTCTTAATTACATCAAAGTTAGTCCTGGTTTGCTAATGACTTTGGTAGAGCGATGGAGACCAGAGACACACAAGTCGCTATGGGCCATGGAGCCTTTTTTTTCATATTATTTTCTGAAATTTAAAAGAAACTCAAGTCGTTATGGGCCATGGAGCCTTTTTTTTTTTAATTTTTTTAATATTTTAAATTGAAGTCGCTATGGGCCAAGGAGCCTTTTTTATAAATTTTTTTAAATATTACAATATTTGTTTATTTAATTTTAAAAATCAAATAATAACTTATTTATATTTTTTTACCTTTAGTTTTTATAATTACTTAAAATTATAAATAACATTTATAAAATTAAATTAATAACAAATAAATAACTAATATTATTTTCTGAAATTTAAAAAAAAACTCAAGTCGCTATGGGCCATGGAGCCTTTTTTTTTTAATTTTTAAATTTTTTAAATTGAATTCGCTATGGGACATGGAGCCTTTTTTTAATTTTTTTTATAAATTTTACGATATTTGTTATTTTACGATATTTGTTATTTTAATTTTATAAATCAAATAATAACATATTTTTTTTTAAAAATTTAACATATTATAATATAATTTTATTTTAATTATTTAGTTTATGTACTTTTAATTATAAATATAAAAACGCAAAAATAAAAATAAAATGTCATTATTGCAAAAATATATATATATAAAATGTGTGGCGCTATGGGTCATGGAGCCTTCTTTTTAAATTTTTTTTAATTTTTTTAAATTGAAGTTGCTATGGGCCATGGAGACTTTTTTTAAAATTTTTTAAAATTTTACGATATTTGTTATTTTAATTTTATAAATCAAATAATAACATTTTTATTTTTTAAAATTTAACATATTATAATATAATTTTATTTTAATTATTTAGTTTATGTACTTTTAATTATAAATATAAAAACGTAAAAATAAAAATAAAATGTCATTATTGCAAAAAAAAAATATATCAAATGTGTGGCGCTAAGGGCCATGGAGCCTGCTTTTTAAATTTTTTTTAATTTTACGATATTTGTTATTTTTATTTTATAAATCAAATAATAACATATTTGTTTTTAAAATTTAACATATTATAATATAATTTTATTTTAATTATTTAGTTTATGTACTTTTAATTATAAATATAAAAACGCAAAATTAAATAAGTAACTGACATGACATTATTATAATATAATTTTATTTTAATTATTTAGTTTATACTGGCAACCAACCATATCTTTTAAATTATTTTTTTATTATTATTATTTCATTAAATAAGCAACTGACATGACATTATTAAAAAATATGATTGATTGTTAGTATAAAAAAATTTTACACTAACAATGTATAACTGATTAACTCGTATTTTATGATGACAAAGAGAGCCAACTAGAGGTGATATTAGTTGATCTTTACTTTCTAAAATTAGGGTGTGAATGTGAATTTAAAAAGATGTTCATAAATAATGAAATCAAGGAATTAAATATATGTATTAGATAAGGACGGATTAGCCATTATTTTATATTAATAGTTCTAAAAACGATGTGTGGTCAAGTTGGCAACTGATCATGTTAGTGAATTTCATCAAGTCTGATTTTCAATAATAATAATAATAATAATAATAATAATAATAATAATAATAATAATAATAATAATAATAATAATAATAATAATATATTTCAAGTTAGACAACGACAATAAAAGTCAAATTACATGACAAATATTTCACTAGAAACAAACAACTCACTAAGAATGATAAAAAGATTAAAGTAATATGTGTGAATTTTTTACGTAAATATTATTTTTTTTTTTTTAAAATTACCCAATTAACCACTGTGCAGGTTTATTTACACAGATAGAACCATTCACTGTTCAAGCTCAGAATTCGGTTCCCGGGGAACCGAATTCTGAGTTGAAAAAACAAAAAAAAATACACTTTGATGCTCAGAATTCGGTTCCCCGGGAACCGAATTCTGAGCTTGAACAGTGAATGGTTCTATTTGTGTAAATAAACCTGCACAGTGGTTATTTGGGTATTTTTTTTTAAAAAATAATATTTACGTAAAAAATTCTAATATGTGTAGGGTTTTATATTTGAAATTTGGTGTTATTATTATAATTATGATGAATAAAAAAAATTACATGACAAACTAAAAGATTAGCAAGCTAATAAACTTGAACATGAAAAAATAATAAAAAATAATTCATTTTCAGTCCCTTCTTGATCTTGTCCCTTTCATCGATCGCTCATTTTTATAATATATGGTTGTTAATTCGGCAATTAAAAATAGAGTTAGGTTTGCTTCATTAATTGGCTTGCTTCTAGCCACTGAAATGTTGCCAAACTCGTAATTAAGTATAGTTGTACATTCTTTGTATGCATTGATTTACATTATGCAACTGTGATTTATGTGCAAGTGCGTGCATATTAATAAGTTGTTTTTACATTAGATAGTTTGAGTATGCATCCAGGAGGTTATCGCGTGTTAGGTGGACTTTTATGCTTAGGTTCAAATCCCAAGTATATGTAGCAAAGCGCTAATTAAGATTATCTTCATTCCTTTATAATAATCATTTAAGATTTATTTTCAATAGAGTTATTTTATGATATTTGTCTGATTGAATATTTTGTGAAGATTATTTTTATAAGGTTATTACACAAACATATTCTATAATGATGAGAAATTGTCCGCTTTAGACTAAGTCTTCACGATTTTATTTTTGGTCATTACCCAAAAGATCTCTCTAACATTGGAGTATGTGTGTGTTTTATAAGTTATTATTTTTTCTCTTATTTTATCGATGTGAGACTTATTTGTATCCTAACAATTTTATACAAACTAATAAATTTAGTAAATTTTCTTATTTTTTACAGATTAATTTTTTATTATAACCTTGGTATTGTAATAAACTTTTTCTATAAAATGATTTTTTTTAGATAACTTTGATATTAATACGAAATATCTATCATTGAAATATCTATTGTTGAAAGCAATGATTAATCTACAAAGTAAATATTCTCCTCTCAACGTTAATATTCAAATCCTAAATATCTTGATTAAAGGACACAAGTCGCTATCATTTGTGTCAAATAATATTGATTTATAAAATAATTTTTATGCTTCCATATTTTATCCTTTTTTTTTTACTTCATAATAGATACATATTAGTTGTCATGTGTAAACTAATTAAAAATTAGGTGAGATTTAGGAATATAATAGATAACATAATAATTAATGTTATCTTGAAATTTGAAGATAATAAATGAATAAATAAGAATTTACTAAAAATCTAGCAAATAAAAAGTAAATGATGGAGTATTATGTTTTAAAAACTTTTGGTTATTCCCCGGATCCGGTTGTTGAAAAAAAATAGGAGAATGGGGTAAATCAAAAGAGAAAGGCTTGTTTTAATCTATTTATCTACATATTTTCATCACATTTCTCGCTTTGATATATATTTATATAAGAGAAATTACAAGATTGTTAGAACCAAACAGTAGCGGTGTTAGCTAAGGAGGGAACATAGATTTAAATTTGGATGGTTTCATGTGTGCGAGTATCCTTAGGAAGTTGGGGACTTGAATAAACCGTGGCCTCTGAGGGTTTAGTTCCCATATCCTTAGTTTTGTGAAGAAGGAAGGTCCCTGATAAAATTGTCACAAACCCACACAACTCAGTTGCAATCTGCGATGCATCCTGCGTCGCCCAATCCTGCACCAATCAAGATATATTTTTTTAAGACTAGATAGTGTAAATTAACCTAACAACACTATAAAGCTATGCGGATATATAATATGATGGGCCAAATCATATGGATATATTCTCAACAGTGAATATTCAATGTTCCTCTCCTCATTGACTGCTTTTAGGATTTTATGCATATTCCACCACTACCATCATGTGTCCAGATAATTTAGAAGCATCACTATTAAATAAAATTAGGAAATGTAACATGGAAGCTGGTAACATGTCACCTTAAACATGATAATGCTGGCGATGATCGTAAATGATGTAAACATGACGTAGTAAACTGGGGACACAACAGCAGTGTTATACGCGTCCAAAGCCTACAAACAAGTTTAAGAGAGTGCTGAGACCAAGTAAGGTTCACTGGAAATTAATTAATAGCATAAAAAGGAAGCCATTCCACTCCCAGAATTAGATTGCAGGCTAAGTTTTGTTCATCCTTGTGTGAAAACGGAATTGTGAGAAATGAGAATTGAGAAACAGTCTAACGCGAATTAAGAATAACGCGTTCAGTATGCTCACACTACTGTAGATCGCGATATTAATACATACATATGATTGAAAAATAACATCAAAAACACGTAAATAGAATACTGCATCCAAGTTTTATATTAAAAAATAATTCATGACATTTATAAGAAATGAAGAGAAATATGCATTAAAAAACTATAACACATGGTGATATGTGTTAGGATACGCAATGGGCAGCGAAAGTATAAAACATAAAAATCATATAAAATCATAAAACAGAGAAGAGGAAATAGTAAAAAATAGAGCAATTTTGTATTTGTTGAATAATTATATCATTCTGCATATTTTTCATTTATATATAAGGCAGATACATAAAAAATGACATCATACATGAGTCTATAAATGTTGTTAGTAAAACACATATCCTCACTATCAAGTATATAGATTTGCCTAAAATTAGATACTTAACAGGATATTATCCACTGGAATAAGCAAATATAATTATAACAGAACTTTACACACTAATACAAGTAACAATAATTAATTACAACAATAAAAAATAAAAAAAAGGTTTTTCTGCTTTAACAATATGTTATTAGATAAATTGATAATGGTTTGTGTAGGTCAAAATAAGTAGAGACATTAGGTGTAATATCATTAAACCTAAGGAAATGTGTAGGTTTGATCTCACGATCATTTTTGTAATTTCTCCAATATTTTAAAAAAAAATGTCACGGTTTCAGAAACGGTGGACATGTTTTTGGTACTAGTACTAAGACCATAAGTAAAAAATCGTAACAAAAAGTTACTCTCGGGAGTCGATTTAGTATAGGCTAATAATTTTGAAGTATTCTGAAGATACAGCATGATGGCTGCCGAGAGCAGATGCATTAATTTTAGACATGATACCAAAGCTTACCTTGTTCAAGTAGTTAATCTGCAAAAGGCAACATCCTACGACAACAATTGTGAAGAACCAGGTCTGAAAGTAAATGAATTGATTACTCCCTTCAAATGTAAGCTTCAAAGCGATTCCCACTGCTTTGACACTCATAACCTATATAAAAAGTAGGATCAGCATTAAGTTCAATTGTAATTGTAGAAAGCCAAGTTTATACGGTGATCCATGATATATGTGCGTACTAAGCATTGAATATTAGCACATTAGATTAATACCGTCATGGAGCCCGTGAGAGAACATATTCCAATGTATACCAGCATGTGACCCTGTCCATGGTTTCGCACACAACGGACAATAAGAACAGTAACCACTACCACAACAATGAACATGTAGACAATAAAACCTGTTCATAAGAAAAAGAAATCCATGTGAATGTCATTGACTTCAATCCACTGAAGCAACTAAGGCCTAAAAAATACCCATACCCGGTTCTGTAGCAAGATGCCACACTTCCTTAACAGAGCTAATGGCTCTCTCATGCGGTGCATGCAGAACAATAGTCGTAGATCCGACCACACAGAGAACACACCCAAGCACGCCAAACATGTGCAATTTCTCTTTCAATATGAAGTGAGCTAGCACTGAGCTGCATCATAATATATATATATATATATA